GGGCCGAGGGCAGCCCACCCCGGGCAGGGGGCCGTGACAGCTGAAGTAGTCTTTTTTTAAAAAAGAAGAAGTGTGTGTGTGTGTGTGTACCGTCAAATTGGATCTGACTGGTACAGGAGACTGCCCTTCCTTCTCCAGCAGAGCATGAAGTAGAGTCTGGGTTCCCTCCCCCCCCCACCGCCCCAGGTGCCTGTCGGGGCCTGGGTTTCAGCTGTCCACACCACAGCAGTGGGCAACGAGCTTAAAGCCCCTGATGGCTCTGGGCGCTGACTCTCACCAGTGGCTATGGATGAAGTCACAGGCGATTTTCAGCCAGCGCCCCTAATCTTAATTATTTCTATGCATTTTTAACTCTTTGCTCTTCTTTGTTCAGGCAAGGAGTGACTAACATTTGTACCTTAGATAGCCGATCACAAACTTTTAAGACTCAGTCACTGCTGACCCAAACAAAAAGCAGAACATTGTTTTTGTAGACAATATCATGTCACTTAACCTTGAAGTCACCTGTAGGTATGAGCCTGAGGTCCCGGGACTAGCAACTCTTTCCCTCAAGATGTTTGGTCAAGATCAAAAAGTTTACATAACTTTGTCACAATTTCATTGTACCAAATGCATGGATGTATTTACAGCACATAGAAACAAACCTATGAATTGTTTTGGTGGTCCATATCTGTTCTTCTTACCTATCTGCTTATGTATACTTGTAAATCATCGATTGCTATTACTGAGAGTACAGGGTTATGCATGTGATAATACTTACTTTAATATCTGTATTTCTTCTGTACCTCTTAAAGTCTTCCCCTTCTCTAGTGATACTGTGATCACCCCTTATTGTCTACTGTCTTCTCTATGACTCATCTTACCATGTGTCTATTATCTGTTATTAGGTGCCATTGAGTCAACTATGACTGATAGTGACACTATGAACAATAGATCGGAAATTTGTGTGCTCCTCTGCCATTCCCACAATATTTTCCATGCTCAAGCCCATTGCTGAGGTCAATTATCTGGTTACCAGTTTGTCCTTCCCTCACTCTCCCCTCCCATCCTAGTAGCCATCAAAGAATGATCCTTTCTGTGTGTGACCCTTTCCTTAGCTTTTCATAATTGGACTAATAAAATATTTGTCCTTTTCATAAAATATTTTGATCCATTTTATTCAGCAAAATATCCTCAAGGTTTATCTATGTTATGAGGTGTTTCATGAATTCTTCATAATTTTTTAATGTTGCATAGCATTCCATTGTGTATGTACCATAGTTTATCAATTCATATGTAGATGGGCACTTAGGTTGTTTCCATCTCTTTGCTGTTGTTAAATAATACTGTGATGAACTTGGATGTGCTATTATTAATAGAAATCACTTTCTAAATTCCTCAGTAAATTAAGAATGCAGTTTAAATCCTGCCAACTTTTCTCATTGTTATAATCCAATAATACCATAATAACTCATTGCTTAATGTCCTGGTTCCAAATTAAGTTTGCCAAAGTTTTCTCTAAAGAAAACATCAGAGCTGTCTAGATTATTAACTCTTACCTTTTTAGTCGTGTTCAATGGCTCTATTCCATCCTAACAGGTGGTATTGTGAAGGCAAGGAACTTGAAAATTCCCCGGACATTCACATCATTCAGGCAGGAAATCTACATTCACTGACCATTGCTGAAGCCTTTGAAGAGGACACGGGCCGCTATTCCTGCTTTGCTTCAAACATCTATGGAACAGATTCAACTTCTGCTGAGATTTACATAGAAGGTAAACAGAAACCTCTCCTCGCATAGAAATCACAAATTTAGATATAAAACTGTAATAAATATCTATTACTGGCCTACTATACCATGCATTTATTTAGGCAGTGGAGCTAAAACAGTGAACCATAACAGACATTTATCTTAGGCTATGGACTCATGGAATTACATTGCAAAAGGAAAGATGGAAAATAAGTTAGATAAGTAAAATGCATGAGATATATTTAAAAGGTTAGATAAAATATATAATAGGAACTGTATTTATAAGGAGAAGCAAATCAAACAAGGAAAGTGGATATGAAGTATTTGTATGGTGTATGGTATTATGTGTGTGTGTGTGTGTGTGTGTGTGTGTGTGTGTGTGTGTGTCTTTGCTATCACTTGTTATGCATCAGAGAGTTGGACAATGACTAAGGAGGATAGAAGGAGAATTGATGTCTTTGAGCTGTGGTGCTGGAGAAGAGTATTAAATGTACCATGGATTGCTAGGAAAACAAACAGATTCATCCTGTAAAGTGTCAAACCCGGCAGCTGCTTGGAGGCAAGGATTCTGAGGCTCTATCTAAATTCTTTGGACATGTTGTAAGGAGAGACCGGTCCTTGGAGAAGGACATCATGCTTGGTAGGGTGGAGGGACAGCGCAGGAAAGGAAGACCCTCTATGAGGTGGATTGATTCAGTGACTGGGCAATCGGAATGGGTGTATTGGAGACGGTGCGATTGGCACAGCACAGAGCAGAGTTTAGGGCTGTTTTACATAGGGTCGCTATGAGTTGCAAGCAACTCGACGGCACATAACAACAAAAAACAACATTAGATAGATAGATAGATAGATAGATAGATAGATAGATAGATAGATAGATAGATAGATAGATGTATGAGTGTGTGTGTGTGATTGTGTGTAGGTGTGTGTGTACTGGTGTATTTGTGCATGATACTGTGTGGTGTTTATATGTGTGACTTTGTACACACGGGTGTTTCTGTGTATGTGGGTGTTGCAATTTTAGCAAAAGCAGCCTTACTGAATGGGTGGCATTCCATTAAAGACTTAGAGGGAGTGAGTGCATGAGCACATGAGCCACAAGGTTATCCATGAGAAAAACACGTTAGGCGAAAAGCCCACCAGATATTGTGACCCTGACGTATGTGCACTTGTCTTAAGTACGGAGACAAACCAGTGTGGTCAGAGAGGAGGGAGCAAAGAGGAAAAGTGACACATGATATTAGAAAAAAAAATAAAATTTGAAGGTAGGAATAGGAGGACAGGTAACAGATAATGTGGTGCTTGTGTGTCATTGCAAATATGATAGGTTTTAGGCTCAGGGAGATGGGACACTGGGGTTCAGAGCAGAAGCAGAAAGGATCTTAGTTTTTAACAGAACCAATCTGGCTACTGGTTAAGAATATACTGCAGGGAAGTGGAAGCAGGGAGATCAATTGGAAACTTTGGGAAGGCACCAAATTAGCAATAATTGCTTTTGTTGTTGTTGTTAAGTGCTGTCAAGTCATAGATGACTCATAGCCCCCCTTTGAATGAAAGATCTGAACACTTGTATAACTTTTTTTCATTTCTTCAAGTTCATAGGGTTTCCGGAGGCAAGCTATTTCAGAAATGTCAATAATTGCTTTTAGGGAAGAAAGTAGTATGTGTCACTCATACAATTATATAAGGTTTTTCTTTTTCCTGTTTATCTTATCCTTGGAGATTTTTTAGACCAACTTTAGCACCTTTATCTCTGGGTATTCTTTGTGTAAGTTTTTATTTTAACACTTAACATTGAATTGCTATGATACAAATACCTGTTTATTACCAGTGTGATTATAAAGTCAGCACTGTCTCATTTTCTTTATCTCTAACAATTTACATAACCGCAAGTATATAGTGAGTATTCAATAAACTCTTAATGAATAAATGTATAAATAGGAGTATGTTGGTATGTTTTGAGCCTCAAATTTTTGGAGTACTAGAAATAGCTCCAAATAGAGTTCTGTTACATCTTCCTGGAAGCCACTATTTTGAGAATTAAATCCAGGATCAAAGCTCTGCTAACAGCACTGAGATTGGATTGCTGATTTCTTTGTGGCAACAGGGCTTCAAACATCCTCATTGCCAAGATGAAGTGAGACTTGATAATATTAGGACTGGACGGAAGAGAACCCACCTACATCTACAATATTTGGAATCCAACTTAATCCCTTCTCTTATTCAATCTGTGTAGGCCAAGAGGCTTTGTAGCTCAAGAAAATGTCTTCAAAGAGGTCCTCTGTTAGTGTAAAGACATCAACAAGTGTATTCTAAAGGAGCTCTGGTGGCCTAGTGGCAAGAAGCTGCACTGCAATCCCAAAGGTGCGCTGTTCAAAGCATCCACCAGATGTTCCGCTGAAATAGGAGGGACTATCTCCTCCTGTGCCAGTCGGATGACTTGTTGGTACACAACAGAGAAACACACACATACCAAAGAAAAGAAAATCCAACAACAAACAAACACCCACGTGTATTCTGTATAAGAACACTTGGACGTTGGACCAGTAAATTTGAACTTCATCACTAGTTATGTGACCTTAAGTAAGACTTTTGACTTCTAAGTGTCATTTCTACATCTGTAAAAATGAGTATTGGAGTAGGAAATCACTGAGTTCATTTCTAGGCCTGGAACTCTACAGATCTTTAAATGCCTAGGAACCAACTTAAGAAATTGTCATTTTAAGAATCTCATGTCTTATTTTTCTTTCTCCAGGAGTTTCTTCTTCTGATTCAGAAGGGGACCCAAACAAAGAAGAGATGAATCGGTAATTTTTTACGTTTTCCTGTATAGAGGGGAAGCAAGGAGGAGATTCATTGCGGTCAAGTTGATTCTGACTCCCAGTGAGCCCGTATGTTACAGGCTAGAACGGTTCCTTGAGGTTTTCTTGGCTACAATCTTTATGGAGTGTGTACCTAAGCCTGCATTCTTTTTTCTTTTAATAATTTTTTTTCTATTTGATACTGTTTTACTTAGCCTGCATACTTTTTACAATTTCCATTTCTGTGGAGCTGCCAAATTTAAGTTATATCTATCTAATTATATCTTTATATTTTTCTGTTTTTCTATCTGGAGTCCTGTTGGTGTAATTCATACGGGGAGTCAGCTGCTAACACAAAGGCAGCTTCTCTTTGGCCTTTTGAAACTACTAGTGGTTCCAAGGGAGAAAGATAGGCAATCTCCTTCTGTACAATGTATAGCCTCTAAAAAGCCACCCATTGGAGGGTCAGCTGTATGTTGGGTCTGACTTAAAGACAATGAGTCTTTTTGTTTTTAGTTTTGTATCTATCTTATTCTATCTTATTCTATCCTATCCTATCTTATCCTATGTATGCTGTCTATGTATCTAACTGTAAATGATTGCAGTCTTTTTGTACCTAGTGTAATCTAAAAACAAAACAAAAAAAAAATGGGTTTAGGGGCATAAGTTGTGAGCCTCTGGCCAGAGACAGCTCCTCATTGCCCCAGAGCAGAAAACTGGGCCCATAGCCCAGCCTCACGGTGCCCCACCAACAGCAAGAGGTTATTTTATTCATTGCTGACTCACAGTTACTAGGGAAGGAAGTTGAAGAATGGAGGAGGCAAAGAATATCACAATATCACCCAAAATTAGTCCAGTTTTTAGCCCAATAGTTCCAAGGCCCAACTCCTCAACAAGTTGAGGCTCTGGTTTCAGTTCAGCAAGCAGCTTTTTCTTCCATCATCAAAGGCAAAATCCAGCTGTGGTCAGTACAAATGCAGGAAGCTACAGGTCACACTTTGCCACAGTTTCTACACAGCAATACCAGTCTCTCCACCACCGGAGTCTCGCTCTCACCAGCATTTTACTGCCACAAGCCTTGCTCATGTCAAGTCTTGATTCAAGTCTTTCTCACCTCAAATCTTACTGCATCAAGTCTTGCTGCTCAGTGTGGGGAGCACTCTTTCACTTAGCCTAGTCCCACAGCTGATGCTGATATGCAAGACCATATGTCTACAGTTAAGGTAGCTGAAAAACAGAGGCTAAATGGCTAAAAAAAAAAAAATAAAAGCCAACTTTTCGTCTAACACCTTCTTTGTATATGAAACGATCGTACTGACTACTAAACAAAGCTAAAGCTATGCACTCTTTGTTGTCTACAGACATGAGCTGGGCTTACTCTATGCTAGATATTGTACCAGTATAGAGCCTACACTAGAATAGAGTGTCTATTACTCTAGCACATACTCCCAACTTTGTTCTGCACTAGCAACAATGAATAAAAAATTAAAAAATTCAGATGTTTCTTGTCTACAAGCATCTCGCAGTCTTGTTGTTGTGTACTGTGGAGTCGGAACTGATCAATAGCTAACCCTCCAGTGAGTTTTCAGAGGCAGTTAATCTCACAGGACGAGATTGTCCATCCTTTTCCCACGGAGCAGCTGGTGGACTTGAACTGTGTGCCTTCAAGATTACAGCACAGCTTCTTGCTACTAGGCCACCAGAGCTCCCTATCCCTAGTAGAAAGAAATACATAGAAAGCACTTCTTTTTAAAAGTATCAAGCATTTAAGCCTTTAAGAATAATAAAATGTGGTTCGAATCCACCAGATGCTCTGCTGGAGAAGGAGAGGCAATCTCCTCATGTATCAGTCAAATCTGATTTGACTGTGTTGTTGTTATTGTTGTTATGTGCCATCGAATCACTTGTGACTCATAGCGACACTATGTACAACAGCCCTAAACCCTGCTCTATCCTGTGCCAATCACACTGCCTCCGACACACCCATCCCAATTACCCCAGGCACTGAGTCAATCCACGTCATAGTGGGTCTTCCCCTCCTGCGCTGTCCCTCCACCCTCCCAAGCATGATGTCCGTCTCCAAGGACCTCTCCCTCCTTACAACATGTCCAAAGTATGTCAGATGAAGCCCCAGAATCCTTGCCTCCAAGGAGCAGCCTGGTTTAACCCTCTCCAGAATGAATCTATTTGTTTTCTTGTCAGTCCACAGTACATTTAATACTCTTCTCCAGCACCACAGCTCAAAAGCATCCACTCTCCTTCTATCCTGCCTAGTCACTGTCCAACTTTCTGATGCATAACAAGTGATTGCAAAGACCATAGCCTGTATCAGATGTACCTTAGTCTCCAGAGTGACACTATTGCTCTTCAGTACCCTGAAGAGGTCCCTACCAGCACACTTTCCCATTGCAATACATTTTTTGATTTCCTGGCTACTGGTGCAAAGAGTGTTGACTGTGGAGCTGAGCAGACTAAAGTTGTTAACAATCTCAATCTCTTCATCATCCATCCTGATGCTTCCAATTGGTCCAGTGGTGAGAATCTTTGTCTTCTTTGACTGTACGCACACACACACACAAAATTTTAAATAAAAAAAAGGAAAAGAATAATAAAATATATCAGAAGAAATTAAAATTTTTAAAAAAAGAATAATAAAGTGTAGCAGGTTCCATGACCTAACCATATATGTAGGACTTGGCACAAATGAGAATTTAGTGCTTGGTGAGTAAAGAACACTATCAGGAAAGGCCTCACAGAGTTAGTGACCCTGAGCTGAGTCTGAGAAGACCAGTAAGTGGACACATCTAAAACAGGCTGAGTAGTCTGTGACAGAAGGCAGAGAAACTGGAGCCAAACTTGGCATTCAGTCATTCCTGAACTTACCTGAAACAAACTGCTCAAGACTAGTTGAAGGCTTGTAAACTACGTTTGTATATCTACATTCTTCAAAATCCTTTGTAGGCATTTATCTTAGAATACTTCCTTCTCCGAGCTTTGAGCCCTTTTTTTCCCCTCCTGGTCAATTTCCTGTCTCCTCCAGCCTTTTTCCTTCATTCTTCTTGCTCTTGTCACTTGCTGTGGCTCATAGCTGATCCTCCCGCAGATTTTCAGAGGCTGTACGTCACACAGGAGGAGACTGCTCCTCTTTCTCTCATTAAGCAGAGGGTACATTTGAACAGTATGCCTTTAGAAGTGCAATTTCTTACCCACTATGTATATTTCCCTCCTTACAACAGCCAAACTACAACCTGCTCTTTTTCTAAAAAGTTATTTCTAATCCCATCATTTTTCTGACCTGAAGAAAGATACAGATAGCCACCAAAAAAAGAAATCTCAAAAACAACCATCTGCATATACTTCAGTTTTGAATCTCAGATAGCTGTTAACATGGTCAGTTTCACAGCTGCCTTGAAAGTAACTAACTCAAGGATGGGAATGAGTCTATCTCAGTTATCTAATGCTGTTATAACTGAATTAGCTTAAATAGTAGCTTCAACAAACAAATTCATTTTCTCACAATTTATGAAGTCCAAATTCAGGGCATGGCTTGAAGAGATTTGTCTCTGTGTTGTTTCCCCCCCCCCCACCCCCCGATGAAAGCTCTTGTTTATTTTCAGCTTCTATTCCTACGATCCTTGGTGATCATATAGTTTGTTTCTTTCCCTACATGTTGGTTGCTTAATTTACTCTTAAATCTTGAAATAGATTCATTTCAAACATATCCTACACTAATATTACCTTATTATAAGTTAAAAGAAAATCTATTCCCAAATAGGATTCTTATCACCAAAAGTACTGCCCTCCTGACATTTTATTTTCATTCACAGCAGTCTGTAGGACTGAGTAGAACCATCCAAGAACCTTTCCAAGGTTGTAAATCTTTACAGAAGCCGACTACCACATCCTTCTCCTACAGATCCACTTGTGTGTTCCTCTTCTTCCCCCTGAGCAGCTGGTGTGATCAAAACACTAATTTTTTGGTTGACAGCTGAGCGTTTTAGCCATGGCAAGCTCAGGCATCTTAACAATTATAACCATAAAACAAAATAAACACATGAAAATACTGTTGCCACATTATTTCTGACTCATAGTGACCCTCCATTGGATCTCTGAGGCCATGAATCTTCAGAATAGGAGAATGGCTAGCTGTCTTTTTCAGAGGGGTTGGCGGATTCAAACTGCCAGTCTTTTGATTAACAGTCCAACACACAGCACCCTTCTGACACCAGGCCTACCACTGCTGTCCAATTGATTCTGGCTCATAGCAAATGCACAGGACAGAATAGAACTGCTCCATAGAGATTCCAAGGCTGTGATCTTTGTGGAAGCAGATAGCCAGACCTTTCCTCTGCTGAATAATGATTCAAACCTTTGACTAGTTAGCTATCAGGTGGCTTAATCACTGTGCCATGAGGGCTTCTAACCACAAATATATGAATAGGATTTATAACAAGTCATTTTGGACAACACTATTCAATCCAGTACCTTATTCATCTTATTCATCACCATCTATTAAAGTGTGTAGCAAAGAGGTCCTCCATGAATCCTTGTGAGCTATTATTAAATGAAGAACTTTATTGTATCCAAATATAAGCAGTGATGACATTGTAAAGATCTACTGAAAAAATCGTCACAAAACAAGTACGTTTGTTTTCTAATTCGTATTTTAATGATTCCTCAGAATCCAGAAGCCCAAAGAGCTTCCCGCTACCTCTGCAGCTATTCCTCCAGTGGCACCAACAGACCCGCCTTTGAGGGCACAGCCCAGCGTGTCAACCATCCAGCAGGTACAAGAATCTAAGTAAAATGCAAGCACCAAAGACAATAGCAGTATGCTATGACCACAACCATCTTGTATGATAAGATCTCTCTGCTTCCTCCTACTCACACTCCATTTATTTCAGCCTCACAGGGAGATCTTGGGCAGTGCACTGCCATGGCCATAGTCACATTGTCCTTCTGCTAGCTCCTCTTGTTTAAGGAGCTTATTCCTCAGCTTCAAAGGCAAATATCACAGGAGAATAGACTCTCTGTGACATTCCAGCTTTGTGAAGGATGTTAACTCCATATCCTTGGAGCTGCCATCTCGAACGGGGACAGGAGAATTGTGCTATACCATGGAGCTGCAGAGAAATCTGCTGTCTGTGCTATAACAACATGAGCATTAAAGGCCTTATCTTTCAAACTGATAGTATAATGCATGCTTATTAAAAGTGAAAACATTGCACTTAGTGAAATCATTTGGGAAGTCACAGACATAAATTCGATAAAAACTGGGATATTCTATTCCTAGGCCCCATTCCTCAGAGATTCCTCCTAGAAATAGCTTCTGGAAAATACATCCAAGCTTTTTCTCTGCATACATAAGAATACATGTGAATACATATATTTTAAGATACATTATATCATGCTATAAAGATGTATTGATGTTATTTTATTGATATATGTATTAAGTATAATATACCTACATATATTATTCCAAAAGAACAAACAGATACATCTGGGAGAAAGTGCACACAGAACGCTCCTTGGAGGCAAGGATGACAAAGCTTCTTCTCACATATTTTGGGCATGTTGTAAAGAGGGCTGTTCCTTGGAAAAGGACATCATGCTTGGAAAGGTGGAGGGTCAGCGAAAGAGAGGAAAATCCTTGACCAGGTTGATTGATGCAGTGACTATAGAAATGGGCTCAAGTATGTCAGAGATGATGAGGATAGAATGGGTTCAAGTCTGTTGTTTGTAGGGTCATTATGAGTTGTACTCAACCCATCAGCATCTAGCAGTACCTTTTTTATAAAAACAGAAGCAGAATTATTTATCTCGCCTATTTAATAATACAGAAGGGTCAGAATTTATTCTAATCTGGAAGGTTTCTGACTGTGATCTGTGGGGTTCAGGAGTTGTACAGACCCCTGTCAGAGCTGATGACATAGATCTTTATCTACAGAAGGAATGGGAGACATATATTTCACTGCCATTTTGACCAAGAGAGAAATATTTGAAGTCTGTGATTCATAGATTTAGAATATATCCTCCTTTTGAGTTGGAGTTAATTTCCTATACAAAATTCTGTAAATTTCTAGCATCGAGCTAGCTAGCTGGCTATCTAACCATCTTAGTGACTCTTCTTGGCTCCCCTCCAACAGTGTCAGAGCCCTACCAACTATTTGCAAGGCTTGGATGGAAGACCTATCATTGCAGCTCCTGTGTTTACAAAGGTAATCAAAACATTTTTCTTTCTACTCTGGTTTAAATACCTGGCAACATTCAAGGAGTCAAGGTTTGCTTATTCTATCTGAGGATTTGGATCTCTTTTATGTACAGCTTAGGGCTTTGATAATTTTTCCTTCTGGTTTTATTTTTCTTTGGTGGTTATTGCTTACATTTCAAATCCTAGGTTTCTAGTAACAGGTTTTAAAATGAGAGACAAATCTTCTTCACCCAACACAACACACCACACTGAACTTTATGTCCATCCTAATGATAAACACAGTAGCCATAGTTCAACATCAGGTAATAAGTTTCTAGCTGCTTACTCCTCTAGGAGGGAGGGGTGTGTTTGTGTATGGCTGACAAAATAATCTCTTACTGACTTTTATTTCCACTGTTAAGTAACCTATCCTTAAAAAAAGGACTTAAAACCCAAAACTAAGCCTTAACTATTGATGAGTTGATTACAACTCAAAAGGACCCCAAAGGACAGAGTAGAACTGTGCCAAACAGTTTCCAAGACTGTACATCTTTGCAGGAAAAGATGGCCACATCTTTCACCTGTAGAGCAGCTGGCAAGTTCAAGCCACCCACCTTTCAGTTAGCAGCCCAACACTTAGTCCACTGACCCCCCAGGGAGCTTTTAAATGAGGCCTTAAATGGTCTGATTTCTGATGCTTCAAAGGCAGTGCTAACTCTTCAAGGCAATGAAACCACAGAATGATTTAGGCCCAGTTCCCACTTTGCTTCCTCACCACCATCACCCTAGCCAGGCAGCTGAGAGGCTCTGTATCTCCATTCATTTCTAAATCTTCCTGGGTGCCCCATTATCCCTGCACCTATGCCACCTGATGTATGCCTCTCAGGTGCAGTATTTATTATACAATAACAAAACCTTTTCCTTTCTGTTTCTCCCAAGCATCTTGAAGGCAGGAACTGGTTTTTTCTAATTTTTGTTATCTCTAATATTAAGAACATATAAAAATATGTCCATAGCTGTTATTGTTGCTTCAGAAATTCCACTAGGACTCATCAAATTATTCCTTACATTTCATGGCCTGATCAGCTGCTCTGGTGTGGTGACTGCAATGGCTTCCTCTAATTGGATGCTCTGATTGACAGGTCTGTGTGCCTTTGACAAATATAAATAGGAAAATGAACTAATCATTAGTGGATGTCGTGGTGGATAATATTTTTAAAGCACTGGATCTGTGGTGCGGGAAATTGTCCTTAGAACACAGATTCAAATTCTGATGAGGTTTTCTTAGCCCATGGGACGTATGCTTTTTTTCTCCTTTGCCCTCTTCACTGGTCTCGGGATTTCTCTAACGTAGGGCACTAGAATAGGCAGTGGCTCAAATTCCAGAGGGACTTATCAGCAGGAGTGTGCTTGCGTTAGTTTCCGTCAGAGGGCAAGATTGAGGTCATAGTCATGGCCAGTGTCCTTCACAAATTTCTGAGTCAGGGCCACTGATCATGGTCGCCACGTGGCTGAGAGCCCTAAGCACAGATAATTTGTATATGTTTGCTGGGATCATTACTGCTCTGTTTACTTCCCTCAGGACCTCTGGCACACTATCCTTTATGACTCACTCTCTATACCGCCCAGCAGAGCAGTTCTTTGCCAGTAATAGCAAGAAAATCTTGCACTGAGTTTTAAAACATTTTTTAAGGAGCAAAGGCTTCTCTAAGCTCTACCGTATTTAACTGGTTTTGCCTCCTTTTCATAGATGAAATAGCCAAGATTCAAATGAGACAGAGCAAACCTGTGCTAGAGCTCAAGAGATTAAGTGATTTTGTGTGCTACTAGCTCACTGCTCTACTCATAGGCAATACTTAGGTTTTTCAACACTGTTTGATAATCTGTGCGTAGAAAGACAGCCACCATGCACTACGAAAAGCAATTTCACACTGTGTAAGTGGGTCCAAAAAGGGCCCACACTCCTTGTGTATGAGGAGAGGTAGGTGATCAAATTAGAACCTTGTCCCCGTCACTGCCCCCACGCCAACAGCAGCTGCCTGGGCAGACTGTCAAGGCTGCAGCAGCCCTGGCTCCAGCTGCTTCAGCAGTAATTTGAAGAGAGCGAGGGGGCAGGGGGAAGCAAGAATGTGAAGAAGAGCAGGTTCATTATATAATAGCAGAGGCAGGAAACCCTGAAATAACTGGGTCAGTGGCCGGATCCAGATTTCTGAAGATTACATAGGCCCCTCTCCCCAAGCCAACAATTCCAGAGACTTTCCTGACTCACCTGGCACACTGGATATCCATGATAAGCAAGAGGCAAATAAGCCCTCAACTAAATAATTAATAATAATAATAAAAACAATAATAAAAATAATAAAATCCTCTAGCTTCAAACACAATCAACATTCAATTGGTACATCCCCCAAGGTGACTGGATTAAAAAAGAAAAGGAACAAAATGCCAGCGTGAACTTTGTAGCTGGTATCTCTTACCCACTAACGGAGGTGTCGTTTGTCAAGGATGACTGACTCTGCCTACCTTGTGTTTGGGAGTCTAAATCTACTAAGAAGCAACTGCGTCTTTTCGACTCACATCTCTGCACCTGTCATAGTGCTTACAAAGCAGGCAAGCATGTAATGATACTGACTTTGTGATTAATAATTTCTGTTTCAACGAAGGAATAGGGGTTGTTTTTTTGGGGGTTTTTTCCATCCTTTTTGGTTTCTGAGGGTTTTTGAGGACAATAGAGAAAGAGCTGATGTCAAATGGCCATGTTTTCTCAAGTCACCCTACAATGAATGGTCTGTGATAGGAACATACAAAACAGATGTGTACTTAGGATAATGGTTGACTCAAGCGAGTGTATACCTTTGGCTACTATAGTCACTTAAGTTCAGATCTATAAATAAAGACTAATTTTATCTTCAGTAAATGTGGATTGTTTCATTTGTCTTATTTGTATTCACTAAAGTCAAGGTTAGTGTGATCAGCTTGTTGTTGTTGCTGTTAGGTACCATTGAGTCAGTTCCAAGTCACAACCACCCCACACACAATAGAGAAAACACTGCCTGATTCTTCACTGTCCTCACAATCTCGCCTCTGCTTACTGATGTGACCCATGGGTGCAGCACTGCATCAGTCTATCTCATTAAGGGTCTTCCTCTTCTTTGATTGCCCTCTACTTTTCCAAGCAGGATGTACATTCCATGTTCCAATGATTAATGGATGTTTTCAGCTGGTTTTCCTCAACTCTGGTAATATCAGAAAACAAAGATAGTTCATTGATTGGAAGCCTTTCTCCATGCATACCATTAAGGTAGACTACTTTGAGGAGACAGATTTCCATGATAACATTTTGCGTGACTTTGAGGAGACAATCATAATAGTTTCAGCAATGTTTATCGTTGTTCTAAAATTTCCAAAAAAGATTACTTTCAACAACTTTTTATAAGTGATTTGTAAGATAATCCTCAGACTTTACTGAATTTTGATGTGCCACAGATAGTTTTCATCTGACATCACAGACACTTAGCTAATTCTATACATGATAGTACTGCAGCACCTTGCCTGTTCTCTTAGAAACAGTTCTTGCCTTTTAATGTCAAATGTATAATAACAACCAACTAATGTCAGCAGTACAGCACAGGGAGCTGCTGGAAATTCAAGCTGGTTTCAGAAGAGGACATGCAACAAAGCATATCACTGCTGATATCAGATGGAGCTTGGCTGAAAGCTGAAAATACTGCAAAGATATTTACCTGTACAGTATTGATTATGCAAGGATATTCAACTATATGGATTGTAACAAATAATGGGTGAAATTGTAAAGAAAGATAATTCTAGAACACTTCATTGTTTTCATGTAGACCCTGCACATAGACCAAGAGGCTGTTGTTCAAATGGAATGAAGGGATGATATTTTATTTAAGATTAGTTAGAAAAGATTGTGCATCAAGGTTGCATTCTTTCACCATGCTTAGTCAATCTGTATGCTAGACAAATAATGTGAGGAGCTGGACTCTGGAAGAAAATGTGGTAGCAGAATAGGAGGAAAACTCATCAACAATGTGAGATGCAGATAATACAACCTTTCTTGCAGAAAGTTGAGAGGATTTAAAGCATTTATTCTTGAAGATCAAAGACTACTACTGCCTTTGTATGGATTATGCCACAACATAAAATAAAATCCTCACAACCGGATCAACCAGTAACATCATGAGAAATGGTGAAAATACTGAAGTTGTTAGAATTTCATTTTATTTGGATCTATAATCCGTACTTCTGGAAATAACAGTCAAGATATAAAATGACATATTGCCTTGGGCAAATCTGCTATAAAAGATCTTCTTAAAATGTTAAAAAGTAAAGAAGTCATTTCTAATACTAAAGTATAGAGATCTAAACGTTGGCATTTTTAATCATCTCATAAACATGTGAATGAATATAACAAAAACAAGAAGAATGGATGCCTTTGAATTATGCTGTTGAGGAGGAATAATAAATATGCATACAATGGAATGCCACAAAGAAAAAAAAGATTATATCTGTCGTGGAAGAGGTGTAATCAGACTGCTCTTCAAAAGAGAGGAGGGGAAACGTCATTTCACATATTTTGGGCATTTTAGGAGGAACCAGTCCTAACTGGTACATGCCTGGTAAAGTAGACCGTCAGCAAAAGAGAAGACGACCCTCACTGAGATGTGCGGACACAGTAGCAACAGTGGGCTCATGCGTCATGATGATTGTGAAGAGGGCACAGGACTGAGCAGGGTTTCACTCCATTGTCTATGGAGTGTCTATAAGCCAGAGCCACGAGTCACAACATCTGACAACGTCGATGTAAAGAGTCCTCAAAGAAGCCTTAGTGAAGCATTCTGCTGCTAAGTGAAAGCTCACCGGTTTGCCCCATAGAAGATGTGATGGTCTCCCTGCATAACGATTTATAGCCTTGGGCATTCTTCGGGTGAATTCTACTCCATCCTAAAGGTTGCAATGAGTCTGAATCAACTGGATAACACACAACAGTAATGTTCTCTCCAGGAAATCCTTTTGCAAGCACAACTTTGGTGTAACAGCAGCAAGTTGAGAATCAGTTCCTATGATCTGGCCTGAACTCATGCCAGAATATACAGGTTGACTTCATCCTGCTTTTATCTATTTATTAAATGTATCAGGTTTCATTTATATAACTATTTCCTGCCACACATTAATTTAATTCATTTGCTTCAAGAAGGAATGCAAACCCCCCATCATGTATGGATCCCAGAGTTATCTGACTTCCATTTAAATTTTCAATAAGCCCCCAACTGACATTTTAGGGCCGAATTTGCTCAGATGTCAAGGCGAAGACCATATGCCCATCTCACTACCAACATCCAATACTGATGCCCTATATTTGTTAAACGCCTCCTAGTTGTGCAGTGATTAGACATTTGACTGAAAAACAAAAGGTCAGCAATATGAACCCACCCCACTCTGCTGGAAAAAGATGTACCGTGAAGATGTCCATGAAGAGTTACAGCCTTGCAAACCTACTCTGCCCAATAGTGTCACTGTTGATCAGAATCAACTCGAGAGCAATAGATTGGGGTTTTTTTAGCTTTGATATTTATTTTGGATAAGAACATTCTACCTGTGCCACCAGATGTTGTTTTGGGTAAGCAAAGGGTGAAAAGATTTTTCAATCAAATAGCTCTTTCTTAAACCAGAAACCACTCTACACTAATCTCATCCTGAATTCAGCAAATTTTGAGGAAGCAGTTCAAACTCTCACAGCTCAGAGCAAACTCAGAACCAACTCACAGCTGAGTCTTCAGTAGTTTTCCTTGACACTAAATCATAAGGGAGATTGTCCCTCTTTCTCCCTCAAAGTCCACTGGTGCATTCAAACCACCAGAGGCCCACATTGGTAAGATATAACTCTCTAACAACTAAGTCACAACAACAACCACCAAAAAAAAGTCCAAATGGAACCAAAACCCACTAACATTGAGGGACACCGCCCCCTGGCTGTCATAATACCCATTTGCATACATTTCAGAGGTAAAAGTTGGTCTTCGGCTGCATAGCTAAAGCCATCTGCTTATTCTAACCCTACAGGACTGCCTCATTTTATTTTGTTTTGCTTTATTGATTTTCTCCCCAAATTGAAGGTTTGTGGGAACCTTGTGTCAAGCAAGTATGTAAGTGCCATTTTCCCTAGCAGTGTGTGCTCACTTTGTGTCTTTGGGTCCTATTTTGATAATCTCACGCTATTTCAGAGTTTTCAATAATGCTATTTATTGCACACTAAACAAACTACCATATAAAAGAAACATATCTTTTCTGTGCGCTAGAAAACTCAAAGATTTGTGTTAATCACTTTATTACAACTATCTGGAATAGAACCTGCAATATGGACTAAATATATCAATATCCCTTTGGAAAACAGTCCTGGTGACACAGTGGATAAAGTGCTTGGCTAGTAACCAAAAAGGTCACTGGTTCCAGTCTACCAGAGCTCTGTGGGAGAAAATCTATTTCCATAAAAGCTTAAAGCCTTGAAGATTCTACGGAACTCTTCTACCCTGTCTTACAGTTCTGAGTTAAAATGAACTTGATCTTGATAACAATGAATTTGGTATTTTTTGGTGTTTTTTTTTAATATTCCTTGAGCAAATGCTATAATTGTCATGGAGCAATGCACAGAATAATGTAAAAATATTCAGACAAGTGTTGTAAAATTTTATAAGAGTGAATGGAAAAAAAAAACACAACACAACAATAAACCTACCAGTTTTCCCCTTCTCTGAAACAGTATTTGTATTTCCAAAATGCAGATCTCAAAATTGAAATAATGGAAAGCCTTGTAGTATTTGTAACTTAAAGAGTTTTTGGAGGAATCTGAATCATAAAATCTTTGGACCAAAACTTAAAACAGACTTATGCCCACACACAAGCCAAAGAAACATGTAATTCATCATTAAATGAAAATCCAGATCACAAATATGCATCTGATTATTAGCTCACAAATTATAATGGATATAAAAATAGATGTGAGAGGAAAATATGAATGTCATCCTGTAGAGTCTATTATACACTAATATTTTAACTCTAAGTGTTTTTGGAAGACCTTTGTCCTCAAAAGTATAGAAAAATCTTTAATGATTTCTCCACAAAATTAGAATATTTCGCACAATCACATAGCCTACAATTTTACAGAGATTGTCCTTATTTATTTTCCTCAACATTTTAGAAAGGCTATACTATAATGGACAATGACTAGGGAAGATAGAAGGAGAATTGATGCCTTTGAGCTTTGGTGTTGGAGAAGAGTATTGAGGGTACCATGGACTGTGAGGAAAACAAACAGATTCATCCTGGAGAGGGTTATATCGGGCTGCTCATTGGAGGCAAGGATTCTGAGGCTTCGTCTGACATGCTTTGGTCATGTAGTAAGGAGAGACCGGTCCTTGGAGAAGGACATCATGCTTGGGAGGGTGGAAGGTAGGCACAGGAGGGGAAGGCCCTCTAGGAGGTGGATTGATTCGGTGACTGGGGTAATCAGGATGAGTGTGTTGGAGACAATGAGATTGGCACAGGACAGAGCAGAGTTTAGGGCTGTTGTACATAGGGTCAGTATGGTCACAAGCGACTCAACGGCACATAACAATGACAACAACATACTATAATGGCCACATGTTCTATTCTGTACTGTACAATCTAAACCAACCCACAGCTGATCCTCCAGCGGTGTTTCAGAGGCAGTAAAGTGCACAGAAAGAGATTGCTCCTCTTTCTCCTGCAGAGCGTTGATGGATTCAAACCATGTATCTACATGTTGGCAGAACAGCTATTTTTCACTAGGCCACCACAAAAGGAAAGCAACACAAACAATTTCCAGGAGTACACATTGTGAAGATAACTCTGGTGGCCTAGTGGGTAGAGAGTGGCTCTGCCGAATCAAAGGCAAATAGTTTGAATCCACCAGCCTCTCCACAGGAGAAAGATGGACAATCTTCTATCATGCCATTTATGGCCTCAGAAACCTTACTGGAGAGTCAGCTATGAGTTGATTCTGACTCTGTAATACCTAACAACCACAGAGCATCAGGTTTTCCTTTTGAGGCATCTCCAGATTGACTTGAACTTAGAACATTTGTTGAGGAGTTGAGCTCATTAACTCTTGGCAACACCCACAGATTCTGCTTCACATCACAGGCAGCCATAACATTTTATGAAATAAAACATTCATCTACACCAAATATACCTAGTCAATACTTGTTACAGACATATTCTTATTAGTTTAGACTATAATTACTATTATTTCTGGGGAGGGAGTAGATTCAATAGCACACAACACACACACACAGTGGCCAAGTGGTAAGAAGACATGCTGTACTCTCAAGACACATGCTTGGAATCTACCAGCTTCTCTGCAGGAGAAGGATAGGCAATCTCCTCCCATAAGATTTACTACCTCAGATAACCTGCTGGAGGGTCAACTATGAGTTGATTCTGACTGGATGGTATATAACAACATTACTATCTCTGGGAGCAAAACTCCACTTGATCATTCAAGAATGGAAATATTTTACTAAGGAGTAATATTCCTTTTTTATTATTATTTCATTATTTTTTGGTGTGTACCGTCAAATCAGATCTGACTGGTACAGGAGGAGATTGTTCCTCCTTCTCCAGCAGAGCATCAGGTGGATTTGAACTATATACCTCTGAGCTTGCAGTTGCAGCTTCTTGCCACTAGGCCACCAGAGCTCACCCAGGAGTAATATTCTTGTAGACTCAGAATTCAAAACAGAGGGCAACCAAAAGAGATGCATTGCTACAAGAACGACAAATATCATGACCTCAAGCATGCCTGCCATAGTAAAGATGGCATAGGACTTGAGAGTGTTACACACAAGGCCATAACAAGTTGGAGCCAACTCAATGTCAACAAATGACGATAATAAATTTGCCTAGCATTGAAGCAGAGAGGTGGAGGATCCCAGGTGATTGAGTTATGAGTTACAGAATTGGAGCTGCTGGAGATACGGAATTCTTGGAGGAAAGTAAATTCCAACAACACATACCTTTTGGTTCTCACGATATTCCTCTCATTGCAGATGCTACAAAATCTATCAGCCTCTGAGGGCCAACTGGTTGTCTTTGAGTGCCGAGTGAAAGGAGCTCCGTCCCCAAAAGTTGAGTGGTATAGAGAAGGGACTTTGATAGAAGATTCTCCAGATTTTAGGATCTTACAGAAAAGTAAGTTGACAAGTCCTTGGAGAAGAACATCGTGCTTGGGAGGGTGGAGGGACAGCGCAGGAGGGGAAGACCCTCTATGAGATGGATTGATTCGGTGACTGGGGTAATCGGGGTGGGTGTGTCAGAGGCAGTGCGATTGGCACAGAATAGAGCAGGGTTTAGGGCTGTTGTACATAGGATTGCTATGAGTTGCAAGCAACTTGACGGCACATAACAACAACAATAACAAGTTGATGTTATAAAAATTATTTTTCTGGTAATTTATTCTTCTTTATTGTGGTAAGTAGATATAATAAAGCACTATTTCTACAGTCTTCAAATGTACAGTCCAATGACATTGTGATGTTCATCATGTCCTATAAATATCATAACTGTTCCTGAATTTTTAATAATTTATTCTTATAAATTTATTTTAGACATTTCTTTTTAGAATATTTAACAACTATCTAAAAATGTAAATGATAAAAAATTAAAGTAAAAATTACCTATAATCCTGCTCCCCAAGTCCCAGTGTTAACACTTTTACATAAATTCTTCCAGATTTTTTCCATGTATATGTTTTTAAAATAAAAATAAGATTATTCTCTTTTTTGTAAATTTTTCCAATAATACATTTATGTTGTTGTTGTTGTTGTGTTGTTAAGTGCCGTTGAGTCTCAGGCAACTCATAGCGACCCTATGAAGGAGAGTCCTCGACACTTGGGTGCCTTTCATCCTCCCTCCAGGTTCATAGGGTTTCCGGAGGCAAGCTATTATGGAAGTGGATGCCACTCCTCCTTCCGACCTTGTTTAATCGGGGAGCTCCACCCCACACTGTCCACATTGGGTAACCAACCATTAACACATTTGACACATCAGTGTCACAGTGTTCAGCCTCACAGCAACCACATGTGACCACTGTAGGGCAACTTGTACACCAGGGCTATACGACCTAGAGGAATGTCTGAAAAAAAACAATGAAAGACAGGCCCAAGGACCGCGGATTAAAAGTCACCCACCTTTGGCTTGGTAGCATCACTTTCTGTCCACTGGGTCAGCTGATCTCTCTCTCTATGTTGATGTTATTGTTGTTAAGTGCCATCGAGTCACAGGCGACTCATAGTGACCCTGTGAAGGAGAGTCCTCGATGCTTGGGTGCCTTTAATGTTAATTAATATAAATATTTATTCATTTTAAACATAAATCAGTAACATCCAATTTGGTATTTGTTTACTCTCCTATAGTTGGATATTGAGATTGTTCACGTTTTTATTGTTGTAAGTTGTGTGTCATTGCATGTTGACAAAGCAAAATTTTATTGTCTTTTTTGTTTGTTTTGTTTCATATTTATGTTATACTGATTTATTTTCAAAATTCATACCTTGTTTTTCACACAAGCACTTTCCCATTTCCTTCACCACCACCCCATCAAATAAATTGTGTGACCCTATAATAAACATCCCCCCCATATACACTCCTCTTCTTTCCCCTACCCCCTTGGAGCCTCATACTCATTCTACAATAATGGTTTTATACAGTATTTGTCTTTATGGGTCTGAGTTAGTTCACTCAGCATAATGCTCTTAAGTCTCTCCCAAGTTAGGTGAGAATTTAAAAAATCATTGCTCCTACATGCTGCTTACTATTCCATTGTGTGAATGTACCACAATTTCTTAATCCATTCCTTTGTGGTTGGACATCTGGGCTGTTTGCATGTTCTTGCAATGGTGAATAACACAGCCATGAACACTAGTGCACAAGTCTCCATTTGTGCCTCAGTTCTTATTTTCTCAGGGCATATTCCAAGAAGTAAAACCCTTCCAATAAATTTTTAGTACCAGAATTGCTTATGTAAATTCATACTTTTTAGGTATTTAATATATATTGCCAAAATGCCATTCCAAAGGTTAAACTATGTTTAGGATGGTCACACAATTGATTATCCAAAATAATTACACAGGGATGCCAGGCATAAACCATGTCTGCTCCAGTTCAACTGAGGCGTATTGCCCTGGCTGTATTGTAACTTCAGCCGGCATTTATCAGAATGCCTTTTGTCCCACATTTTCACCAACAGTGTGTATTAACCTTTCATTTAAAAAAAAAAACAACAAAAAACAAAAGAACACCCAACCAAAAAAACCCAATATTCGCCAACATATGTGTCTTGAAGGAAATGCAACCAGGGTGCTGTTAGAAGCAAGGCTAGTAAAATTTAGTGTCTTGTACTTTGAGTATGTTGTCAGGTGAGGCCCGTCCTTGGAAAAAGACATTCTGGGAAAGGTGAAGGAAGAGAGAAAGAGATGAAAGATTGATTGACACAGTCATTGCATCCTTGAGTTTGAACGTGGTGGAGAACATGAAAACTGTCCACGGTGGGGATCGGGTGTTCACAGCATCACCATGAATAGTAGTGGATGGCATCATAGGCCAAAACTGGAACCATTTGTTTTCCTTTGCCTTATCTTAATTAGACGTGGGATAAAGTGGTTTTTTTGTTTTTTCACATTTTATCTGGTCTTTATATCTCTTTATTTGTAAATTTTCTCTTCTGTAAATTTTTCTTTTTGGTTTTTGTTCTTTTTCTTATTCATTTATGTTGTTTGTTGCTGATTACAGTCAAGTTGAGCATGACTCATAGCAACCCTAAAACAAAAGACCTGAACCCTTTCTATTACTTGTCATTTCTCTATGTTCATAGAGTTTCCAGAGGCATGTTGTTTAGGTAGTAGATGCCACTCTTGCTTCCAAACATGTTAATCTGGGAGCTCCACCAAACACTGTCCACAATGGGTAACCATTACAGCATTTGACTCACCAATGGCACAGAGTTTAGCATCACAGCAACCCCAGGTTACCCCAGTACAGCAAACTGACAGACCAGTGCTGTACCACTTAGAAGAATGTTGCTCCAAAATATAACACTAGGCCCACGGTCTGTGACCTGAGGGCTCAGCCAACTTTTAAATACAAAGACCCTCCACAGAGGCTGTGTTGACTCTAAATAAGAAGCTTAAATTAAAACAAACAAAAAAGCCCAAAACCAAACACCAACCCTCAATCAAAACAAGAGAGCCCACCTTTCAGAGCTCAACCTTCACCCATCAGTCTCCAAAATGGAGACATAGGCCAACCTTAAATATAAAGACCCTCCACTTACAGAATCAGTTATAGAATCATATATATTCAAGGGACTCACTTTTATTTCTTATTGTGTATGTTTAAGCAATGTCTTCACCATGATCCAATTTAGATATAAAACATGTTGACAGGGGAGATCTGGTGGCCTAGTGGCAAGAAGCTGTACTGCAATCCCAGAGGTGCATGGTTCAAATCCACCAGATGCTCTGCCGGAGAAGGAGGGACAATTTCCTCCTGTACCTGTCAGATCTGATTTGACGGTACATGCACAAAAAAAAAATTTTA